GCGTTACTGCAGTGTGTTTGCACTTTACCAAATAGTATCCGCACACAGCTTAGTTTGTGGCATTTCGAGTGGTTACTGTTAAAGTTCAGAATTTGGTCCATATGTGTCCATTTTCTGTAAAATGATGTTTGAAACCTCCCTTCCATTGTTCTGGTTACTAATACATCTAGGAAAGACAGTTGGTTTTCACTCTCCATTTCCATCGTAAATCAGATGTCTTCAATAATGTTGTTCAATAGCTTCTGTGCGACTGTTACTTGACTGCGTTTGCTGATCACAAAGTGTCGTCAACATATCGGACCCACAGTTTCGGATTAATGAGTGGAAGCACATCTCCGTCCAATTTCTGCGTTACCTTCTCAACGATGTGTCCCGATATAGGTGATTCCATTGGCGGTGCCTTTCAATTGTTCGTACTTCTTCTTCTTGAAAGAGAAGTAGTTTGACAGACAAAACTGGAATAGCTTGCATACGTTTTCGGTCGTTATGTTCCCGATTGCTTGTTCACTGCTGTTCAGGCGTTCTGTGATAACTGTTTTTGCCATTTGTAAGTTGACAGACGTAAAGAGGGCAGTCACGTCGAAAGATATCGTTGTTTCAGCATCATCTATTCGCAGGTATTTGAGCTTATGTAGAAATTGCTGGGCAATATTTATGGAATATTGCCATCCACAGGTCAGATGTTTTAGGCGTCTGCATATTTCTTTCGCCACGGGGAAATGGATAGAGATCACGGGACACAGATGGAAGCCATCACCTTCGAAAAGTCACCTGCATGGAGATCACGGATTGCCAATTCAATCAGCGAGAGTACACTCCACATCTCAACGCACTGATGATGCCGCCTCACATGTCGGTGAAACGTTTGTAAACAAATTTCCCAGATCTGCGAGCGAATGGGCAACTGAATAATAAACCCGAGCTACAAGTTTTCCAAAGCATTTTAGGTAATAACCACGCCAATTTTCAAATATCGTAGTCGCTCGAAACTCATGTACTATCGCCCATTGGTCCACCTCCCTCTACTCGCAATAGTAATGGATGTGATCATCGCTGAGGCTTTAGTCGACCATGCGGGGCGCTACAACATCCCAGCACCCGGGTAGCAGGTTTCCGAAGACTATCTTCATGCATAACCAACCTACAGAATGCACCTGGTAGTTAGGAGGCGGATGACAGAAACATAAGAACAAAGGTCTTTTACCTCGATTTCTCCAAAGCCTTCGATCATTTGTACCACAAGTTATTCTTTACTGGGTCGAAAGTAATGGAGTTGGGGCTCCCCTCTTTGGGTGAAACGGAAAGTTCCTGCAGAATCGTCAACGCAAATTTAGAGTTCGAAGCGCGGTGTCTAATCAGATTCATGTGGAGTTTCTGAATTATCAATTAAGTAACTGCTCTAATCCTCGAGTTTATTAGTGCGGTTAAGCTTCTGATTGTCGCGAATTATTTGCTTTTCGCTGAGGATGTTAAGATAGGGCAGACGATCACCGACCAAGGGGATCATGATATAGTTCCACGAGGCATGGACTGGGCGTATAAAAATGCACTGCACAATCTGCTCCAGTTCGATTCGTCTAAGCTTAAGACGGTTCATATTCGTCAGCAGTTGAACATCATATACAAACTCGGAGACCATGTACTGCCAGCAATCACCTAGGCGCGCAACATTTGGGTATTCATCTAGACTGATCTGGGCTGCTCAGAACAGTCTGAGAAGGCGTCAACGACTGGGAACCAACAAGCTTGCATGTTGCAGAGTGCATTAAGGCAGCTTGATTTATCCCTCCGTCCCCAGTTGTTCAACACGTATGTACGGGTCTATATGGAAAACGCAATCCAGGACTGGCATCACTGGCACAAGCATGATCTCGCAGCGCTCGATGCTCCACAGTGAATGCCACCAAGCACGTAACAACGGTTGTTTCAACTTCCATCTCAACTTGCACTGAGTGCCTTAACGTTTTACAGCGGTCATTATCGGCGCCTTCGTGGTGAATTAGTAATAGCTTACCAGCTTTTATGGAACCCCAACCACGTCGTTGTTGACCAGAACAACCGAGTCACAACAAGTGTTTGTGGGGTCACCAGCTCCAATTGGCCACGCGATACATTCGGTTAGAATGTCGGCGCAAGTTTTGCTTTCTTCCTGTGTGTCAGCGATAGAACGTCTTCCAAAATTCCGCTGTTTCCGCCCACATTGTATCTCAGTGTAGAAAGCACCTTGACGCTGCTCTAGCCCACTCACATTATTAAACTTAGCCTATGTACATCGACCGATGAGGTAAGGGTGCGAAGCTTGCACAATCAGCATTCAAGTACACAATCTTGCTTGGATATTTTATGCATGCATTTTGGTGACCATTTTGATAAGTTTACCGAAGCGACCTTCATCTTACCACTTTCTTTTTCATCAGTTTTTGTTGTTATTCTGGCCTTCTTGAGGGGCCTTTTTAAGCATTTGCCGTTCTGTTGTTTCACTTACACTTGCTAGGGGTCGGCTTGAGCATACTATGCAATGGGGCATTGATACCTTTGGAGTACTTCAAGATTTCTTGAAGTTTGCTGCCTTTGAGAAAAAGGTTTCACTGCTGCAAACCACCTGACTAGAGCGCTCTGTGATCCTGTGTACCTAAGAAAGCATTATTCTCCTCAGACACACTAGGAGTATTATGCCGTTCGTTCTGATAATTTCTGTCAGCAAAGTGATAAAGCGGAATTGGTTTGTGTAAAGTGACCCTCCGTGAAGCAAAAATCAAAGTCTGGCCTCGATTAGAAATCTATTATTCATAGAACACAACCTCATTTTATATCTCGCTTCATTTAGAACCACTCACAAACACATATTCTTGTTAATTCATTCTCGGCTAGCGTTCGAGCTTCTTTCGTGTCGATCGAACTCTAATGCGCACTATCCTTCAGTTCGCCTCTTGTAACGTTCGACCATCTTTTAGAGTATTGGCCCGAAAACGTTTAGCTCGATCGACGGCTAAACAAATGGCATCCATGTAAGGCATCTTACCACCACAGCATATTCAGTCACCTGCATTTCCAGCCCCATCACAGGTTGTACACAAGTACGCACTTGAATCAAAATAGCAGCCACATGCTCGGCTGCGTTGTTTAATGGATTAACACCGGTCCATTCCGCCATACCATCTAGGTGAACTTGTAAGCAAAATAAACTACGTCAAAGCTCATTATTCCCAAGCGTTCCCTTGACTTACTATGCAATGGCAAAAATATGTTTGCAGTCTAACAACTATAGGGTACTCTCAACCCCAGTATGGTTCGCGGAGTTGGCTTTAGTTATTTTGCATTTTACTTAATTACCATATTTCATAATTTCCCATTTAATATTTTCCCATTTAATATTTTCATCTTTAACGGATTTCATTTAATTAACATATTTAGTGCCAAAACTACTTCTGCCAGGAAATTCGCAAGAAGCTTGGAACTGTGTTCGTAATCAATGTGTGATTTGATGCTTCTACCACATTCTTCTGTGTATTGCATTGAGATAATATATAGCAAAGCTAGCACAGCTTCGCATAACATGATACCCTCCGTCACTCTCATCTGACTAATATAACCAGGAAATTCCAAGGAGACGCGAACAAATGTCGATACAGTAGTATCTAACAGACACGATTACTGACAATTTCAATAGTAGCTACTTTCGTCCAGTGTTCTCTGTTAGACCGATGAATCTTCAAACATAATCTACACAATGTACTCATGCGCACTACTGACGATGCACAACAGGCTGAAACTGCAGTCTAGTGCTTTTCCGGGCATGTGGATGACTACCTGATTTGGAAAGTGGCTGTGAAGAACCTCACTTAATAATCTACACCAGTTTCACCATGTCCTTGGAACTGCCAACCGAATCGCTTAATCTGTGTTTTTTCTATTGTGAATGCCTTGCTACCTGCTCAGATCTGTCAAATGTGCTAGCTTAGTGAACAACGTTTTATCTAGTTCAACGCACCCCCAACTGCTTGAAGGAAACACGCCCAACCGTGTATGAATTCCTCGAGTATTCCCTTCAATTTTATCAAACCGTCTAACAGCCACATCCTACGATGTACCCTAAAATGATACATATATTACTTTACCCTACCATTAATTGTTATGCAATTTCCCACTTGTCGGCGCCAAGCCGTTTTTTGGAACAAGCGTTGAAAATCAACCTGAAAGTCAGCATACTTCAGTGACTGTGACCTCATGGGAATTGTTAATTGTTGCTACCTTTATAATACTCCATGATATGAGAATAGCAACTGTTTAGGTATGTTGTTTTAACATTTGTACAAAACGTTTTCAAACTTAAAACAATCAATGTATTACTGGACTTGACCTCTAGACAAATTTATCCAATTCACCGTGAAAAAGGGAAAAGGTTGTTTGCATCACCTTTGTTCGAGCCGATCACCAACAGCCCATTTAAGCACAAATTCGCGCCTTAACTCCACAGCATGCACCACAATGCCGAAACTTGTGTCAATCACCTTTATGTGACTAGGGGGATAAGTGTTGGTCGTTTAGGGAGTCAAGTGGCATTTTCTCCGAAATATTACCTTGACGTTTCAGTTGCACTGTCTGGTAAATCAAAAACAAGTATCGATCCACCCTCAGTCAGTCATCCAGTTAAGCCGACGGGCACAGTTATTTTGGGGAGGGCAGTAGAATATGTTTGACCCCCTATTGTTATTAGAAGGCGAAGTACCCTATGTTGAAACCGTGTACTATTACTGCAGTGTCGGCATAAACCCGTAATACCACCCCACCGCCTATGGACTTTCTAACCAGCCATGCGTTGCAGATTCAGCAACATACAGGGAGATGTCTCACTTACACGATCGACTGTTTATATAGGAATCTAAAACCGCATGTAACTATCGTAGATATTAAATGCCATTGCTAAGCACTTTTGAAAGTTGAATGCAGATTAACCACGAATCGTAAAGTACTGAGTGACAGAAAACTGATGAACTTACTGGATGTTAGGGTGATTTCGTCAATGTCCGCAAGGACAGGTTGATACGGGGCTGGACTACTCGACTGTTCCACCACATTCACATCACTGTCTATATACGGTAGATCCCAAGAATCGAACACTGTTCTCTTCACTGCAGCCGCTACTTCTTGAAACCGAGAAGTTTGCATTTCGGTGTCATTGTTATGAACAGCTCGTGCCTGGCAGTTATCTGTCCACCGAAACCCCCTTTCATCCGTTTTCAGTTTTAGTATGTCATCCAAAATTTTGCTTGCTTCTTCATAAGGCATGTTAAGTAATTGTGTCTCGTTGCTCAAGGCGGTTGTTCTTCTCTCGCAATGTTTAGAACCAGAAGATGCGGGAATTTGACCGATACTTGCCTTTGAACCCATATTTACAGCGCTATTAAGATCCTCGAAATCGTCGTCCTCTTCTTCTCCTCCATAATCAAAATAGCTTCTAGTCTCGGACGTATCATTTTCCCAGTCAGCTGGTATATCATCGAAAAGGTGTTTACTGTGCATCGGAAAGCACCGGCGGACAGGTGAGTATTCAGTTGGACAGTAATTTTCTGATCGACCATAGTCATGTGTATGCTGTTCGATCACAGGTGATTCAGCAGCCATGCCACTCATTAACTTGTTCAGTTCTTCGTCGGTCTTAAGCAGTAATTCACTAACACCTAAAACTGCCGGTGACCGTTGTAGTGGCTTCAACAAGGGATGTTTGAAGTTGGCCTTTCTTTTATGCCCTCTCATTTTACAGTTTATTCCGCCGCGGGCTTCCTCCTTATCTTTCTCGAGTCCATTAGTTATCGTTTCTGAGAATTTTCTGTCCATATAGGATCGTGGAGTTGAACTAGCTACCCATACTGGACTTGAACTCTCGATCGAGGATCCTCTCTTAGGCTGTGAAATTTTCGATGTGATTGGTTCGTATAGATTTTTGCTTTCCATTCTCATTGGATAACCGAATGAATTTTCCCAAGTAGAAACAATACCATATGGATACAAAAGCGTTGTCGCTGTGGTTGCATGGGCTTGAGTGCATGATTTTCGGAGAGTGGCATCTGGGTGATAACCAGTATTAACCGCGCAGTTTTCCTCTAAGTGGATCGTCTGTTGTTGTGAGCGGCTAAACTGCAGGCCATCAGATTTCGGTAAGCTATGATTTTCTTGCCTACCCATTAAAAGTTGTCTCTCATTAGTGGCAATCAGGTTCGGTGGCATGGGACATGTCGCTCGTTCTCTAGGGAGTTCCGTTTGAGATTGGAGTTCGCCTTGTACTTTAGAATGCTCAGTGTCTGCGCCGGTAATTATGCCATTTTCGGTCATCACTGGAGGGACTATTTCTCTGCTTGCTCTTGCACGGGAGAACGCTACTGGAATTTCCGGAATTGTGCATGCAAAGCAATCCTGGCTTCGGGTTTGCTGTTGCAATAGAATTGACTCCAATGACCAATGTGGACTGTTGTACCCTAATCCACCTGATGTTTTGAAATCATTTTCTCTAACCACTCTATTTTGTGGGAATAGGCCTAGCGGCTTTGCAATATTTCGCAAGTGTGAGGAATGGTTAGATGAAGACAAACATAGATGGTCTGTGTATAATCGACCGTTTGCTGTACACACACATGACTGTTTTGCAAACGGACTTGGTGGTTGAGTGTTATCGCCAATTTGACGACACGTGGAGGCTTTTGGAGGTACATATCCACTTTTTACTCTGACGGATGGATTACTGAAGTGCATTCGATGGGCATGTTCTGCGAATGCACGCACCTCTACCGGAGGCGGTGTCAGTTGGGCCGCATGCGATGGAACCACAAGAGGAAATTGGAAGGGTATATTCAGCGATTCATTACTGGTAGCCGCTCCACATCCTGTAGATGGCTGTAATCGTTGGACCATGTTACTTGGTTGAAATAAGTGAGGTGATTTAAAAAGGGCAAGTTCATTCTTGGTTAGCAAATTCGATGCTCCATCAGTTAATGACCAGTGCCTGCCTTCTGAATATTTGTTTTCCATCATCAAACTTGCTTGTACCTCTGAGGGGGCACTGGGCGTATTGTTAGCTACTTTGCTGCCCTCATCCAGATTAGAAGATTGCAGGGTCGTGTGAAGGTTGTGCTCCTTTTGCAATCTCCAACACCATTCACTGCTTTCGTCGTTGGTGGAAAAGACAAGAACCTCTTCGGCTAAATCAGTCGTTGAATCCGAATCTGGCCTGTCGGGACATGGGGCTCGGTCCACAGCAGAACCATCGGTAGCGCTGTACTGTCTAGGTCCGCTGAATGCATTAATGTCTTTTGGTAGCACCTTACTGTACGACTGACTGTGTTTCGTGAACCCATCCTTTTGGAAGGGTACGAGATTGCGCTGTCCGACCGAGAATGTTGCCATCCCAGATGCTGAGTTATCCGACGGTTCCGTCTCATTCTTACTGCTAACTTCACATGCAGTGTTGTGATTGCTCCCGTTTGAAGCTGGCCTCGTAGGGAAACAATATCTTGATATATTCATCACTTCTTCGTAATCCTCTGACTCCTTCGGCTCGTTGCTCATTAGACGATCTGAATCAACGTTGGGAATAATAGCTTGAGATGAGCTCTGGCAAAATTCCCTCTGTCGTGTATCGGTATACACATCGAAGGCGCTTCCATCTTCAGATGTTTCGAATTCACTTCCCTCTTCTGTTATGGTTTCCAAAAACCCATTGGTATAATGTGAAACGATTGGTAGTTCTATGATGTCTGTTCCTTGGGATGTGTCACGGGAACCCGAACTGTTCCCTCTCGGCCAGTCATCTGGAACGACACTAGCTCCGGACACTTCCATGGCTGAAAGCAAAAGTAGCACACAAGGGGTTCGTCGTTTGGCATTTAATATGTTCTGGAGCGATGTGCACACTACTGGTTTTCATCATTCCACACTAGACGTCAGATGGAGGATTTGTGGATCTAATGTAGGTTGCGACAATGCGTTTTCTATCAAGTGTCGCATGCCCATTGTTGGAATTTTCCCCGAAGCTTGTGGGTAACTATGACTTGCTGTGTGCGAAACTGTGGTGTTCATTTCAAACATGTATAATACACAGTGAACAGCTTCAGTCTCTCCCACCAGAGTTAGAATGATGTCTGTTACGGGCGTGACCAACGCCACATTGCCTCACCCCTGTGACCTCTATAAGAGCGAATTCACTGGTTGGTCGATTCGTCAACGGGCGTCGCCCTACACTTATAATCACATCGACAGCCGTTGATGTGGAGAGCGAATTAGTACACGTGTCCACCAGGTATTGTGATGTTTTCTTTCTTCGTCTGTTTGTCTCACCACTTCTGAAGTATGTCTGTGTGTCGATTTAAGGTCCGAGTGGGGGGTCACGCAACAGTTCACGATTGCACACTCACAGCCGGAGTAATGAGATGTGCGCCACGTGAAGTGGGCTAAAGACACTACCGGCACGAATATTTCATCAACCCACTAACACAAGGTGAAGTTATTCGCACAATTCCATGCCTTCAGAACGGTGTTATCTTTACTGCTGTTTGTTTCACGGAAAAGCAAGGAGCTGTCAGTTGGCAATAGCCTTCGGAAACTCAGCCGATCGTTGACTAGTAGAAGAAATAGTTTACCCGATTTTAACTCTAATGGTGGCTGAAAGCACTACGCTTTTCGCGCAATGTATACAGGTCCAGAAAGTGGTTATAACACGTTTACGTACACAGTGGTAAAAGCTCGGCTATTAAACTTTCTCGGTGAAACCAAATTAATTATAATTATTCTCGGTAGGAAATATTACATATCTTATCCATTTATTGCTGCTAGTAAATTAATCGCAGAAACGGAAAAGACGGAGCTCTAAAAGTTTTCCAATTTGGGCCAAAACATCGAACACCTGCTACGTAACGGAAGCCCATGGTTTACCGCAACACTTTCTATTGTATCACGTGTCATTGGGCCATTTGTAGCCTACGTCGGACTTTTCCTTTGGCCACCTGACATTTCGGTTGGTCCGTCCTGACGCTTTTTCTATCGTTGTTGCCACTAAGTACGAAGACTGGGCTCTTATTCTTTAGGCCGTGTGTGCGTATGCCGAATGTAGTACACAAAGAATTATGCTTACGTTATATTAGACAAAACTCTGACGCGTCTCGGTGAGAATTTCTCTTTTCACAAGCTTGATGGCGCAAGTTCGCATCGCATTTTCGGCAATGGTCAGGCGTGCTGATCTCAACTCTCGCCCATGCTACTCGCAACGGCTGTGAGACGTATCACAACTGATGTTTTAGTGAGTATTTTAGTCAGTATTCGGAAATTTTAAATCACCTACGTGTTGACCAAGTTACGCAGCTTGAGATTCTCATTTTGCATGTGCCCATCCGAAGACCGGGCAAGATGTGAGGTACTAGTAAGGTGCCAGGTTACTTCTTCATCCTTAAGTTTTCAAACAGAAGTCTTTAGGGATAAGCAATTAACTGTTGGAGCTCTTAACACCGCTTAGAGGAGATCTGGTGCTAACTCGTCTACTAATTCGGAGCAAACATTGGTAAGATTAATTAATTTAGAGCTGACACACATAGGATATATTATATTTTATTAAGCACAATTTGCTTCGTCTCACGGTAGTTTCCTGCTTTTTCTGAGGTGGTGTCCACTGCAAACGCGGAGTTCGAGATGAGCATCATAGTCCAATTAACAAGTTAGGTCCCGCTTCTTGAGTCCAAACCCAAGGAGTGAACTGCAGCCAGCTTCCAACAGGTCTGATAACACTTCAACAAAATGTTTTTATTTTCTAGAACAGAAATGCCAATGACCCTTACTTATGGAATACACCCCACTAATCGTAGTAGTGTATACCGATGTTACTTGTACATCAAGTTACATTGTTATAAGCAAATTATGGTTTTCAGTAATATCAAGGCTATGCGCATGTACTGAATCACAACATATACCGAATGCCTCTCTGTGGCATTTATGTGTAAAACGTCACTGCAACACTCGCCGCTAACTACTGACTGTAGCTTGGCATCAGGAAATGATGACTTCGCCGAGATCGTTGTTTGTATGATCCACTACGCCCAAGCTGCAGAAACCAGCAAAAGTTACCCATCATAGATGGCGTATACTTGCCACTGTAGAGCTGCTCCATGACTGAAAAGTCTTGGTGCAAGTACTCACCATGTTCATCGCTAACAGATCTCAAGTTCTCAGGGAAAAAGTCGTGATAATGAAGTCAACTGACATTGGGAACCAATGTTTGCCATTACCAGAGAATACCAGGTCCATTAAATATCCCTTCTCTGAGCTTCGCGTCACTGATCTTTGGAAACACTTGATTCAGGTATTGGAACGCAAAAAATCTCGCTTTAGGGCTTGGACGTAGTTGTTAATCAAACCAGGCTTGATGTGTAGGGGTGATAGGTAGATATGATCAGATTGCACAAGAGATGTATGCTTTACGCTCATTTTCTCTGCATCATAATCCGTCCTCTGTGGACACTTTTTGGTAGTGTAGTGCCGTTGAGTAGCTGTACTGCCCCATAAGCACCAGAAACTACAATATTTTGTGAAGCCTCCTTGCATACCCATTTGGACTCCAATGACCTTGAAATAAGCACAGCTTTTCAACCGTATTTATCGTAGTCCAGTGCAGCGTGTATCTGTTGCATACTTTCGTACGTCTCCTTCATATTAGTGACACGCAATAGGGGTACAGCTGGGTGCAAATTTCTATTGTGGAGCAGTATGGCCTTAAGAGTTTCATTGGCTGAGTCAATGAACAAACGCCATACATCACTGATATGCCTCAAGCCAAGCGCCTTTATCAGTCCTTCCAAGTGGAAACAATAACAAAAGGTTTCTTTTGTGTCAAAGAAACCGGATAATTTAACACTTTACTTTCTGTATAGAGTAATTTTAGTGTTTGCAGCAAGTAAATGACTGCTTCAGCTGAGATGCCAGCTACTCGGCCTTATATTTAGACAATCCCAGATCACGTACCAAGCAATTCAGCTCTGATTGTTCAATAAGATTTGGGTTGACAACATCAGCTTCAAAGTTTTCAGTAATGTCAGAATCAGGGAAAGGTAACGATGCTGAATCACTACTCATCATCAGTGACATAATAATAATAATTACTATAATAATAATATAATAGGTATATTTCTCAATGAGTGGGAAACTGTGGCCATATTTGGCACAGAGCATATTTTACGGAATATGTCATGCTCATGCATGGATGTTAAACAGTTATGTGATTTACATGGTTTTTGCAGTTTCAACGGTTTGTATTAACTCACAGGTGTGTTTCAACGCAATGAACACTACTTGGAATAGTAAGTGGAAACAGCACTAGGGGTGTCATACAGTATGAAATATTTTTTACACATTGGTACAAGTCATCAAGTGATTTCTCTCAAGAGAACCGGGTTATAATTGTGTGAAAATCTAGGTCATTGGTGAGCTTAACGCGAAAGGCCGTTGAGCTCTCGCACGATCTGATTGTGACTGTGAGCTTAATACACAGGACAGCATATCTGATAAGGAAAAAGCTAGACCGCAGATTTACCCTGCACCTGGGTAAACTCAGGGTAAACTCCTTATGTGTAGCTCTATTGTCGAACTACGTTGTAGTTCTAGGGAAGGCAAATAGCAGTGGGTATGTTGATGAATCATGTTGTACAGAAGCATCAGGTTGTCTCAATCTTCGTAGCCAAAGCGGATTGAGCTGGAATTGTTGGCAGCGCTCCCGATAGTTCTTAGTGGATGTTTTGCTTAGCAGGCGTTTGGTCAATGACCTTTGTATACTTTCCAGAGATACTCTGTCAGATCTCCTCATGCTGCCACAAATAATACTGCCGTATTCCAAAATGGGGCGAGTGAGGATTTTGGAGACCTACTCTGACTGGATTATGTGGATCACATTTAATATAATAGCTATTACTTTTCTGGCCCTATCCAGCTGACATTCCACTTGTTTAGAAAAGTTAAAGGTGCAAGAATACCTGCTTCACAGGTGGCGGGTAGACAGCTGTACACAAGGGTGTTCGCCGTTAAGAATAATTGATCCCTCGGGTATCCAATAGTCGCGATACATGATGCTAGATTTTTTCGCCGAGAATTTAATCATCCACGTGTCACACCATTTCTCAAGGAATTGGATGTCTTCCTGTATGAGCACTGCTGTATCTTGAAGTTTAGCTCTTCGGAATTTGTAGACTATCTTTATGTCATCTGCAAATAGAAAAGGCATGCCGTGACTGATAACAGCCCTGATGTCAATGACGCAGAGCAAGAGCAGTAACGCACCAAGTACACTCCCTTGAATAACACCACTAGTGATTGGACGTGGTGGAGAGCCGTGGTAGTCAGTGGTAACTACCTCAGAACGACCGATCAGGTATGGCAATAGCCAACCTAGGAGTGGGTCCTGACTTCCAAAGGAAGCAATCTTTTTCAGCAGCCGTTTATGGAGCACTCGATCGAATGCCTTTTCCATGTCCAGGAGCAGAGGTATGACTGCGTATCCTGAGTCAATAGAATCCGAAACATGATTTAGATAATGTAAGTGACTGGTTATGCACTCTCGTTTGTTCAGGAACCCATGCTGTGACCTGTCTATTAGCTCCAGTGAATTGAGGAATTTCATCACACCATACTTAACTAGTTTCGCTAACATTCTGGTTACTACAAGGATGTGATGGATTGGCCGGTAATTATTAATTCCTTCTTTGGAGCCACCCTTGTGACGGCGGACGGTGAGCGATGTTTTCCACTGGTCTGGAAAGTAGCTTGATTCCCACGAAAGGGTAAACATGTTCAGCAATAGTAACGGCATGTCAGGCCCTCCCAGTTTAATGACGGCAGGTGGGATATCATCGGAATACAGATGGGAAGACGGTTTAGTAAAATTCCTTGCATGTTGGATAGCAATGATAGAAAATTCCATGTTCACTGAAGGCCCTGCAATGGGTATGGTCCAATCATGAGGAACAGGTCGAATAGCTGATGAAAGATCATGGTAATTACTTTTGTCCCTGTTTCGGTTGGAGATTACAATGATACTGGTTAGGCAGAAATAGCAATCTGTCGTGTGATTCATCGGCTCCCTCCACACCATGGGGATTACAAAGGACATCTTGCCTTTGCGCTTGAGCCACTGAGTCAGATGAATATTGTACGGCACACAGACAATATGGGGCGCTCACTTCTTATGCGGATCAGCCAGTTTCATCCCGAAATATGCGTGGTAGGCAGACTTCA